GGAGTTGCGGATCAGCGAAAGCGTATGGTCATTGAACCGTGGAAGCGTCGAAGATTCGAACTTTGTAGTCGTGGAGGCTTGAAAACGTAAAAGTGAGAGAGTTTGGGAGTGCGGAGTTGTGAATACGCGAAAGCATAGAGTCATCAAACCGTGGAAGCGTCAAAGAATAGAACTTTGGTTTTGTAGAGTCTTGAAAGCGTAGAAGCGAGAGATTGTGGAAGTGCGGAGTTGTGGATACGCGGAACCGTAGATTCATTGAACCGTGGAAGCGTCGAAGAAGAGATCTTTGAAGCTTTTGAGTCTTGAAAGCATAGAAGCGAGATTGTGGAAATGCAAAGTTGTGGATACGCGAAACCGTAGATTCATTAAGCCATGGAAGCTTCGAAGAATAGATCTTTGATGTTTGGAGTCTTGGAAGCGTAGAAGCGAGAGATTGTGGAAGTGCGGAGTTGTGGATACGCGGAACCGTAGATTCATTGAACCGTGGAAGCGTCGAAGAATAGAACTTTCGTGTCGTGGAGGCTTGAAAGCGTATAAGTGAGAGATTGTGGGAGTGCGAATTTGTGGATCCGCGAAACCGTAGAGTCATTGAATCGTGAAAGCGTCGAAGAATAGAAATTTGGATTCGTTGTGCCTTGAAAACGAAGAAGCGAGAGACTGTATGAGTGCGGAGTTGTGGATACGCGAATGCGTAGATTCATTGAACCGTGGAAGCGTGGAAGAATATATCTTTGAAGTTATTGAGTCTTGAAAGCGTTGAACCGAGAGACTGTGATTGTGCGGAGTTGTGGATCAGCGAAAGCGTAGAATCGCTGAACCGTGGAAGCGTCTAAGAATAGAACTTTTGTGTCGTGGAGGCTTGAAAGCGTAGAAGTGAGAGATTGTAGGAGTGCGAATTTGTGGATCCGCGAAACCGTAGAATCGTTGAACCGTGGAAGCGTCGAAGAATAGAACTTTGTTGTCGTGGTTGCTTGAACGCGTAGAAGTGAGAAGGTGTGAATTTTCGTTAGTGGATGCGCGAGTGTCTTACTGCGAGGAGGTTTAAATGCATAGAAACGTGGAACCGTCGAATGATGGTATTGTGTGATTCTGAAACAAGCCTAAATGGGGATTCGTGGAACTGTGTAAACACGTGAAGCTGAATGTCTTTTCGCCTCAACTCGTGCATCCGCCGTCCTCACGACGACGCATCCGATCGAGCTCTCGTAACCTCGTTCTCGGTCGAGATCGCGAAGGGAACAGTCGAACCGCCAGACCCAAGCCACGTCAAGTCATGTCAGTGCAGAGGAGGGCTTACTTGTCTGTGCCGTTGTCATGACGCCACTCGAGGCGGCGGTCGCGCTCAGCGTCTCCACTCGAACGGAGTAGCGAGTGCACACTTTGAGACCGGCGATCATAAACTGCTGCTGACCAGACTCGGACACCAACACCGCGGGGCCCCACGAGCCGGGGACGTCCATTTCGGCCAGTCGGTACTGGAAGGACGAGGCGTCGGCCGGCTTCTCGAAGGTCAGCGTCAACGTCGTTTCCGTCGCCTCGAACACTCGCAGCTCGGCCACCTCCGAGGCGACTGGGGACGTGATTTTAGCCACGAGGGGGGATGCAGAATACATACATCAGAAATGGTGAATTGTTATAAGATATAATCACTCTGTTTCGTTCAAGTTCTGAGATTCTTTAATGTATTTCTTTCAAATTAGTTGGGATGTATTCAAAGTACTTCTTTCAATTTCAGTGAGATGTATTCAAACTATTTATTTCGAGTTCTATGAGATGACTTCAACTTATTTCTTTCACTTTTTGTGAGATGATTTCAACCAATTTCTTTCAATTTGTGTGAGATTTCTTCAAACTTTTTCGTTCAATTTCTGTGAGATTTATTCAACCATTTTCGTTCAAGTTCCAGAGAACCTTTTACATTCAATTTCTGTGAGATGTCTTCAAAATATTTCTTTCAATTTTCATCAGATGTATTCAACCTAAAACTTTAAATGTTTGTGAGATGTCTTCAATGTATTACTTTCAAATTAGTTGAGATGTATTCAAAGTATTTCTTTCAATTTCTGTGAGAGGTATTCAACCATTTTCGTTCAAGTTCCAGGGAATGCCTTTAACCTTTTATTTTCAATTTCTGTGACATGTCTTCAAAATATTTCTTTTAGTTTTTGTGAGGTGACTTCAACCACTTTCTTTCAATTTGTATGAGATTTATTCAACCTTTTTCGTTCAAGTTCTGAGAAATTACTAAAACCTATATCTTTCAATTTCTGTGAGATGTCTTCAATGTATTTCTTTTAAATTAGTTGAGATGTATTCAAAGTATTTCTTTCAATTTCTGTGAGATGTATTCAACCATTTTCGTTCAAGTTCCAAGGAATTTTTTTAACATTTTACTTTCAATATCTGTGAGACGTATTCAAACTATTTATTTCGAGTTCTGTGAGATGACTTCAACCAATTTCTTTCAATTTGCGTGAGATTTATTCAACCTTTTTCGTTCAAGTTCTGTGAGATGTCTTCAAACTATTGCTTTGCATTTCTAAAAGATGTTTTCAACTGATTACTTTCAATTTCTGTGTGATGTATTCTACCTTTTCTTTCAAGTTCTGTGAAAAATATTCAACCTATAACTTTCAATTTCTGTGAGATATCTTCAACCTATTACTTTCCATTTCTGTGAAATGAATTCAAACGATTTCTATCAAGTTCTGTGAGATGTC